TGCCGCACCCCCGCCTTGTCCCGCGTTTCCCCGATCCACAGCATCGTCCCCTTCGAAGATGCTTTGTGCCTTCCCTGATCACTGTGTTTTCATGTCTGTCTCCTCCCACCAGGAAGGACACCCCTCGTGGGGACGGCCTCGTGTCAATTTCACTAGACAGTGCGTGATCAACAGCTAGCACGGTGCCCAGCCCAGAGTGGGAGTTCAGCAAGTGTTTGGTTTCTTTGTTTTTTAAATTTCGTTTTGGTTATTTACTTTTGGCTGCACTGAGTCTTCACTGCAGTGTGCGGGCTTCTCATTGTGGTAGCTTCTCTTACTGTGGAGCATAGCCTCTAGACGCACGGGCTTAGCTGCCCTGCAGCGTGTGGGATCTTCCCAGACCAGGGATTAGACTCATGTTCCCTGTACTGCAGGTGAATTCTCAACCACTGGACTACCAGGGAAGCCCAGTAAGTATTATTTTGAACTGATGTCCTGAGTATATTTATGTGCATCTCCTACTGGAATGTGAGCTTGTTTGCTTGTCTGCTGATGTTTTACCTCTAAACACAAGATGCTCCATAGAGTTTAGGATGAATAAATGAATGAACAGGATAAGCATGAATCACAGGCTTTGGCATGGTGACAGCCGAGACTTTGATTGGTTCTGGAGGTGGGGAGAGGAGATGCAGTCTTGTGGGGCTGAGCCTTACCCTATGCGATCTGACGTTATCTCTGGGTGAACAGTGCCAGAACTGAATTGAATTCTAGACGCCCCAGGTGGCTCAGCGGTGAAGAATCCAGCTGCCAGTGCCTGCCAGTGCAGGGGTCGTGAGTTCAATCCCTGAGTCAGGAAGAGCCCCTGGAGGAGGAGATGGCAACCCACTCCAGTATGGTTGCCTGGAGAATCCCATGGACAGAGGAGCCAGATGGGCTACGGTCTATGGGGTCACAAAAGAGTGAGACATGATTTGGTGACTAAACAACAAAAGTTTGATGATGAATTGCTTGATGTGTGACCAAATGCCACAGACATTTGGTGACTGGGAGTATCAGAGATGAAGTATTTCATGAGTAGTATTAGAGTAGAGTGGAGAAGAAAAACAGAAGAGTTTTCTTTACATATCTAGGATAGTCATATTCGTAGGGACAAGAAGTGGAAGGGTGATTTTCGGGGGAGAGTGGAGGGAATGGAGAGTTACCCATTGCTTAATGGGCACAGAGTTTCAGTTGGGGACGATGAAAAAGTTCCGGAAATGGAGGGTGGCCATAGTTACATGGCAATGTGAATGTCCTTAATGCCACTGAACTGCACACTTCAGTGGGTAGAAAGGTAAATTTTATGTTCTGTTTTACCTCAATAGAAAGGAGCTGGAAAATGGGGAAAAAAAAAAATAAAGAGCACAGGCTTTGGGACCACAGTGCTCAGGGTCATATCAGGAACTGCCGCTTCCTACCAGAACTTGAGCACGTCCGTTCATGTCTCTGGACTTGAGTTTCGTTCTCAGGAAAATGAGCTCCCTTGGGAAGCTCACTGGTGGGACTGTAGGTGGAGAATGACCTGGCAGTTTCTTGGAAAGCTCACCTTAAACTTCCCACACACCCTCGCAATTCCGCTCCTGGGAATCTGCCCGAGAGAAACGGAGACACACGTCTACAGGAAGACTTGTACACACATGTTCACAGCAGCACTGTTTTTTTAAGTTATTTATTTTTAATTGGAGGACAATTGCTTTACAGTATTGTGTTGGCCTCTGCCATGCATCAGCCTGACCCAGCCATAGGTGCACACATGTCCCTGCCCTCTGGAAGCTCCCTCCCACCTCCCGCTCCTCCAGGTCGTCACAGAGCTTCGGGTTTGAGCTCCCTGTGTCACACAGCAAAGTTCCGCTGGCTGTCTCATTTTCCACATGGTAATGCATTTGTCTCAGTGCGGTTCTCTCAGTTCTTCCCACCCTCTCCTTCCCCCACTGTGTCCACAAGTCCATTCTCTGCGTCTGCATCGTCATTGTGTAGCAGCACCATTTGTAAGAGCCAAAGAATGGATCCAACCCAAAGGCCCGTGAATGGATGGAATGGAATATTATTCAGCCGTGAAAAGAATGACATGCTGACACAATTTACAACCTGGATGGACCTTGAGGACACCAAGTGAAAGAGACCAGATATGAGAGGCCACGTGTTGTGTGACCCACGCCTGTGAAATGTCCAGAAAAGGCATGTCTCTGGTGACAGAAAGTACATTTGTGTCTGCCTGGGATTAAGCATGGAAGTTGGAAGTGCATTTAATGAGCACAAGAGATCTTTGCCGGCTGGGGGTGGGGCGGGGGGTGAGGAAAATGTTCTAAAATTGGATTGTGGAGATACTTGCACGATCCTGTGAATTTACCAAAAATCATTGACCTGTACACTTAAGATGAGTGAATTCTGTGGAATGTAAGTGACACCTCAACAAACCTGCTTAAGAAGAAAAAAACAGAGCCTATAATGGTATCTCTCTAAGAATGCCGTTGTGAAGATTGTGAGCTAATTCACGTCAATCTCCTTAGAGATGTAGGGTAAATGCTCAAGAAACGTGTTCTGTATTATTATGATCAAGTGTGACAAGATCGTCTGTGTAAAATGCTCACTCCAGGGAAAGACAGCAATCGACACAGAGTTAAGATTCACAAACAGCCCTAATATTGCTTTACAGTAATACCAATCTCTTGGTTATTTTATCATTTCCTGGGGCTGTCCCACGTACGTGGGCCTCAGTTTTCTTCTCTGTAGAATGGGAGACGTGGGCTCCGTCTCTAAGGCCCTTTTCTTGCCGTAAGTCCTATATTTTGTTCTAGCAATGTTTCTCTTCAGATGTAGTGTCCTGAGGTATGAGTAAGCATGTGGATGGGGGAGGGCAGTGGGCACAACTGTAGCGGGGGTGCCCTGGGGCTTGGAGACCAGGATGTGTGGGGGGGGGTGCCTTGAAAGGTGGGTTGTATGGCTGGGAGCTGATTGTGAAGGTTGTATGGGCCTGGTGCAGGGCTCAGGGTGTGGAGCCAGTCCAGCCTGGGTTGGAATCCCGTATCCGCTGTTCCCTACCTCTGGGACTTTGGACAAGAGAGTCCTGCTCCGAGTGGTTGTTAACTTCTCTGGAACATGGTGAGGATGTTCCCTGTGGGGAGCTAGTATTCCCTGAGTTCATATCTATACCAGTAAGAAAGCAACAGCAGCAAAAACTTGACCCCAAATGCCAACCACTGTCTTCAATTCTTTCCACAAAGTAATTTTTTTTTTTTTTTTTGGTCATGCCATGCGGCTTGTGGGGGTCTTAGTTCCCCAATCAGGGACTGAACCCAGGACCTTGGCAGTAAGAGTCCAGAATTCTAACCACTGGACCTCCAGGGAATTCTCCACAGTAACACGTTGATCCAAAGGACTCAATTCACATTAGTGATCATGGAAGTAGGACAAATGCCTTCTTAGCATGAACCCTCAGTTTGCCTCTTCTATAAACAGGGCTGTGTAATCACCTCCCTCAAGGAGTTTCATCTGTGAGATTGTGCTGAAACGGTGTCTGGCCTGCAGTTAGGATGTGGTAATAGGGAGCCACTGAAGGTTCCTGGAGAGGGAGCTGGCTGGCCTGTAAGGAAAGCGTACCCCAGCCCCCTTTCCTCCAGCACCCAAGGTTAAGTTATAGCTTCAGGTGGGATCTAGTGCACTGGAGAATGGGGCTTATTTGGAAACTGTCATTATTTGTGCCAATATGTGATTACCTCCCCACCAGTCTGTGAGCTCCCCGAGGGCAGGTGGTCCTCTGGTCTTTGGCGCCAACATGCAGCCTGGTGTGTGGTGAACGCAGCACAAATGGAGACCTTCCTACGTGCCGGGCACCGTTCCAAGGGCTCGGCTACAATGTGTCTCGTTACGTCTGGGAATTCTGCAAAGCGCCGAGTGGTCATCGTCTCCCTGGCCTGCCTCTCAGCCCCCATCTTCGCAGCTTCCCTCCTGCCTGCTCCCTCTGCCAGTTTCATCACACCCGGGAAGCAGACCCCCTCCCTGAGCCTCGAGCCTCTGTCTGCTGCCCTGGGAAACAAGGATGTCACCCGCCCCTTGCCTGGTCTCCCAGGTGCTGAGAGACCTGGAGGGCAGGATGTCAGTAGGAGGAAGGAGGGGGGGCTTAAGGAGGACTGGCCTGGAGACATCCCCCCCCACCACTACTAGGACCTAAACACACACACACACACAGACCTCGAGGTCTGTGTACACAATGACACTGCCCACCCCGCCCACGGTTCCTTGTGGTTTCTTAAACAGGGAGCAGCCACCCAACACACACACACACCCCTGCTTCTTTGCCCCTGCTCTTCCCTCTTTCCACCGGTTCTTCATTCAGGTCAAAAGGTCAGAGGTCATCTCCCCAGAGGCCCTGCCGTCCCCTTGGGCTCCATCTCCACAGCACCCCGCAGTTCTCTTGGAAGCCCTTATCAATACCTGATGTTACGGTGCAGACTGGCGTATTACCTAGGGCAGCGAGGTTCTGGTGGAGCTTTTTGTGATGTGGAATGTTCTAGACTTGTGCTGTCCAGCTGGGTAGCCACCGGCCACAGGGGGACACTGGGCACTTGAAACAGTGTGACTGAGGAATGCTTAATCTTATTCCGTTTTAATTATTTTATCGTAAACGTATCATTCTCCATTTCAGCAGGAGTGCCGCCTGGGGCTGGTGGCTACACCGAGTCAGCTGGTGCCGAGTGGCTTTCCTCTTCTCCCGTCCCGGGGCCTCGAGCTGCGCCCGGGCAGTGTTCGGCCAATGAGTGCACGTAAGGGTCCCCAAAGACCCCCGGGCAGAGGGTAGCTTGTCGTCTGCCGCCCCTGGCTCTTCTCATGAGTGTCTTGCTTGGCTCGCGGGCCCGTGTCCGCTGAAGTGGGGCTCTGCCTCCTTCCACTCCGAGCCAAGGCTCAGGGCCTGGCAGACGCCGCCCTGCTCCCCAGACCCCCTCCACCGGCCCTCCCCGCGCAGACAGCCCCACTCTCTCTAGTTCCACAAACTCACATTTATTCACAGACGGACAAGGGGACAGGGACAGACCTTTGCTCACTGGGGACTGCCCCCCACCCCAGGATCCGGCAGTTCCAAAGAGGTGATGGTGTCCAGTGTGTGAAATGGGGAGGCAGCCAGGCTCGGGGGGGGGGGTGCTCCCCCTTCAGTCTCCATCCCTCTGGCCAATGTCCTCCGCCTCCGACTCAGCGTCCTGCCTTCAGAATTGGGGCGAGCAGTTTCTAACCAGCATCAGGGGCCTGGGGGTGGGCGATGGGGACAGAGGGGCGTCCAGCCCCCGCCCCTAATGTCGAGGGCTAGAAGGGGAGGGTGGGCTCACAGAGGAGGCTCCTCTCTTTTACTTCCCTCCTTCATGCTGCAAGCCGGGGTGGGGGCGGCTCCCACGGAGGGGCTGAGGGGGGCGGGTGCGGGTCAGGAGGCCAGGCCCCCCAGGCCGCGCAGATGAGCCTTGCTCTCAGTCTCCTCTTCCTCCATCTCGAAGGCCGAGTGGTCTTGGCTGTCGAAGCAGGAGGCGCTGAGGAAGACAGGGGGTGCTGCCGCCGCCGGCGACTGGGGCGGGGACCCCGGGGACGGCGGCTCTTCCTTGATGTGGGCGAGGGGCAACGGTGCTCCAGCTCGGCGCGGTGGCAGCGCTGGTGGCGCAGCAGGCTGTAGGCGCGGGAGAAGCGTCGCGAGCAGTGCGGGCAGGGGTGCGGGGCTGGGCCCCCCGCGTGCACCTGCGCGTGGCGCGCCAGGTCGGCCAGCCGCTTGAACTCCCGCTGGCAGCGGACGCACTGGAAGGGCCTAGCGCCCGAGTGGGTCACCCCGTGCTGCCGCAGGTGCGCCCGGCGCCGGAAGCCCTTGCCGCACTCAGGGCACCAGAAACGGGGCTCGCCGGCCGGGGCCCGGGCCGGGGCCGCCTCGCCTCCGTTCTGCCCGCCTGGCCCGCCCTCCGCGGCGGCCCCGCGCTCCGCCCCTTCGCCCCCCTCGGGCCCCCTCCCTGAGGTCCGGCCGCCCGCCGCCGCCGCCTTGTCGTCCTTCTTGGCCGCCGCAGGCAGCGGGGCCAGCAGGCTGAGCGCGCCGTGGACGCGGCGGTGCTGGCGGAGGTAGGAGGCCAGGCGGAAGGCCAGGCCGCAGTCCGTGCACACGAAGGGGCGATCGGTGGAGTGGACCAGCCGGTGGCGGGACAGCGACCAGGGCCTGGCGAAGGCCTTGAGGCAGATGGAGCACTGGTGGCGCTTGGGGCGCGGCGGGGGCCCCCCCTCGCCCTCCTGGTCGCCCTCGGGGCGCAGGCACGGGTGCGCTTTGAGCTCGCCCTTGGTGGCAAAGGCCTCCCGGCAGCGGAGACACAGCAGCGTCCAGTCGGCCTGCAGCAGGACCTGCTTCTCCTCCTGCCGCCCGGCCGCCAGCGCCAGCTCGGCCCTGAGCTCCGCCGCCCCGGCCTCGGCCTCGGCCCCCTCCGGCTCGCGTCGCAGCGCAGCGGGGGCTGTGGCCCGTGGCCGCGCAGGTGGCGCGAGAGGTGGGCCGGCCGGCGGAAGGCCTTGGGGCACAGGGGGCAGGCGTGGGGCCGCAGGCCCGAGTGGCTCAGCCGGTGCCGGGAGAGGTAGTAGGGGAAGCGGAAGAGGCGGCCACACGTGGGGCAGGGCAAGGGCGCCCGGGGGGCTCCAGCGCCCCCTCGGCCACGGCCTCGGCCCCGGCCTCGGCCTCTGCCCCGGCCCCGGCCCCGGCCCCGGTGAGGTGGGCTTCCCTGGGCAGGTGGAGGAGGTTGCGGATCCATGCCTATGAATAGAAAGGGAAAAGACAGAGATATTATTGCGGGGGCGGGGGGCTGGGTGGGGGGCAGTGCGGAAATGCAGAGCCAGAGCGATGGAGAGACATAGAGGGTCAGAGGTTTAAGGGGGCAAGAGAGGGAGAGACAGACGAGGAAAGGGGCAGGGTGAGAGGCAGAGACCTGGAGAAGCAGAAGACGGGACGGCGAGAGGCAGAAAGCAGGAGGGAGAGAGAGAGAGAGACAGACAGAGAGATGGGGACACCCAGCAGAGACAGAGATGATGAGAAAACAAAGAGATGCGGGCAGAGATGGGGCCAGCAGAGACCAGCGGGACCGCAGCAGGATGGAGAGAGGGAGAGACAGGGAGACAGAGAGAGCAAGACGGAGACAGAAGAAACGGGGCAAAGTCGGTGAAGCGCTTTTCCTCCCGGGGGGCCCTGGCCGGAGCGTGCCGGGAGGGGCCGGGATACAGTCCCCGGTGCCAGACAGGAGGGGGTGGGAGGCAGGGTCCAGAGGCCCCGGAAATGGGAGTGTGGTGCCCCGGCGGCCAGAGGCTGGGAGAGGCCGGGATAGGAGGGCTAGGAGTCCTAGGCCGGGAGGGGGCTCAGGGGCCCGGATTCCGGGGGCTGGGGGTGCTCGCGCGCGCTGGGGAGGAAATACCGGGGACCCGCATCTAGACTTGTGTACCTGGGGGGGTGTGGATTCCGGGGTCCCCGGGGGTGGAGAGGGCTGGGGGAGGGGGCCGGGCGCCTGAGACAAGGGAGAGGAGGGAGCTGGGGGCCCGGGCCTGGGCGCCCCCCCGGGGAAGGCCGCTGGGGCTGGGTGGGGAGCCCCCGGCCCCCGAGGGGGGCCCGTCCCCGCGCTGGGCCCAGCCCTCGGCCCCCCGCAGGCGTGATCGGCAGAATCGGGGCGACGGGTCGCGGCCTCCCCGGCAGGGTTTTGAGCCCGGGGCCCGCGGCTCGGTCCCGCGGCCGGACGCCCGGCCCTTACCTCCGCGCCCTCCGCCTCTCCGCTCCTTTCTTCCTTCCCCGCGGCCGGCCGAGCGCGGACGGCGGTAGCGGGGAGGCAGGGCCCCCGAGCGCGGTGGGGGCGGGGGCGGGGGAGGAGGCTGGGCTCGGTGTCGCTGCCTAAGCCTTCCCCCCGGAAACCCGGCTCCTCGCCCGCGCCTGGAAGGGGAAAAGGCTGGCGGGGAGGCCGGAAGCGGGTGGACGCGGGGACCCAGGCGGCGGGGACGCAGGGCGGCTCGGACGCCTGGGTCCTCTAAGGGGAGGGGGCTGGGGGCCCGTCCTCTGCCTCCAGGAGGTCAGCCCCCACCTCCCACAACACACACGCGCACACACACACACACCCATTCATTCCTTCAACACATGCACATTCATCAGGTCCTGTCAGCGCCAGGCACTGTGCGGGGCGAGGCGGGTGGCCGGGAAAGATGGTGAATGCGGCCCTGAGTGGCAGGCGACGGGAAAAGTCTCCGCAATCGGGACGGGAACTTGACTGCAGCCGTAACGCGGCTGCCTGAGAAGGCGACGTTCCCTCTGCGAGCCTCAGTCTCGCCCTCCGTGATTAACCCCCGCGTGGCTATCCCCTTGACGCTAAGAAACCAGTTACTCGTTGTGCTACGTAGATTCACTGTATCCGAAGCCACCGCTGTTTACTGAGCACCTACTACGAGCTAGCTCTGTCCTTGGTGCTGGAGCGTCGGTAGCAGAGACAGAGGCCGCTGGACCCAGTGCACAGGCAGCTTCCGGTCTGACGGAGCAGGAGACAGACACAGGCCCTACTGCCCTCCCGGAGAGTTTGCTCCGAGGCAGGAAACAGGATGCCCTGGGCTTACCGGAGCAGACTCGCCTCTGAGTGAGAGTGACCCCTGAGGGCTTCCTGGAGGCAACAGTGTTTCTGCTGAAACCTGCAGGATGCAAGCCAGGAGTTAGAAATGGGAAGAGGGAACAAATGGAAATAGGAAAGAAATATACCAGCACTACTCAGAAACATGCCAGGAGAAGTGTCTGTATCAGGTTAATTGTTGCAGTATTGTGCCTTGCTTCAAAACAGGGGAAGTGAACTAAATGCCCATCCGTCGGGGATTTGAGTGATAAATCTACCCAGCGGAATGCTGTGTGTTCATAAAAGAAAAAACAAAGAAGTTCGCTGTGTAAAAATAGGGAAATGTTCCAAGTGATAACAGAGAAAAATTTGGAAGATGGAGCACAGCCTGCCCCGTCTGCACTTATCAGCGGGCTGTGTCTGGGCGAACTGGGAGGAGAGCGAAGAGTTGGCAACATTGTCTAACTCCCAGGACTGAAAGTGACTACACTCTCTCCTTTTGTACTTTTGGAACTTGAAACCATGGTGAATGTGTTCCATACTTCACCAAGTAAAGAGAAAAGAAGCAAATGGGGATAATAAAAAATAAATGAAAATAAATGATTACTTACAATGTAAGTGCTTTACAAACACAAGCCCATTTGTTCCTCCTGGTGTTAAGAAGTGGGTAACGTTACTCTCCCATTTCACAGAGCAGTAAAGTGAGGTCCTGAGAGTTTCAAAGTGGTGGGTCTAAGTCTATCTCACAAAGAGATGGGAGAGATGGTAGTAGGTGAGGAGCATGATTTTTAAAAGCACTTGGTGGATAATGCTGTATTTTAAGAAGCAAAAGTTTAAACACATCCATGGAAACAATAAGTACCAAATTTGGGGTAGGGTGACCTCTGAGAAGGGAGAGGCAGTCAGGGGAGGGGAGAGATCTATGGAGTCAGGAGTACCTTATGTTTTAAAACTAGTAGTCAATATATGAACGTGTGCATGTGTATATTTTTATTTGTTAAAATACACATAACATAAAATTTACCACTTTAGAGACTTCCCTGGTGGTCCAGTGGTTAGGAATCTGGGCTTCCACTGCAGGGGGTATGGGTTTGACACCTCGTTGGTGACTAGGATCCCACATGCTTCGTGGTGCAGCCAAAAAAAAAAAAAAAAGATAAAAATTTACTATTTTAGCCATTTTGAACTGTGTACAATTCAGTGATATAAGAACATTCACAAAGTTGTACAATAAACCCCAGTGTCTAGTTCCAGGACTTTTTCATCACCCTGGACAGAAACCCAGATCTATTAACCTGTCATTCCCCATTCCCTTCTCCCCTCAGCTCCTGGCAACCAGTAATTGTCTTTCTGTCTCTATGGGCTTGTCTGCTGTGGATATTTCATATCAGTTGAGTCATCCAGTGTGTAGTCCTCTATGACTGGCTTCTTTCATTTATGTTTTTCAGGTTCATCCATGTGTAGCCTGTGTCAATACCTCATTCTTTTTTATTTAATTATTTTCGGCTGCACTGGGTCTTTGTTGTGGTACACGGGCTTCCCACTGCAGCGGCTTCTCTTGTTGCGGAGCACAGACTCTGGGCATGCAGGCTTCAGTAGTTGCAGCACATGGGCCCAGTAGTTGCAGTTCGTGGGCTCTAGAGCACAGGCTCAATAGTTGTGGTTCACGGGCTTAGTTGCTCCACGGTATGTGGAATCTTCTCGGACCAGGGATTGAACACATGTCCCTTGCACTGGCAGGCTGATTATTATCCATGCGTCACCAGGGAAGTCCAATGCTTCATTCTTTTTATGGCTGAGTAATATTCCATCGTATGGGTTACTGTATTTTGTTTATCCATTCATTTGTTCATGAACCTTATATAGTTTCTATCTTTGGACTGTTGTGAACAGTACTGTTACGAGTATTCGTTACGTGTAAAGTTTTTGTTTTAATGGCTGTTTTCAATTCTTTTGGGTACATACCTAAGTGTGTGTGCTATTATTTTATTATATATATTTTAAAGCCTTAAAGTATTTTTTCCTAAATAAAATAAAGAAACGAATTCAGGAATGAGGGTGAGGGAAAGCAGTTTCAGAGGGATCAGCGTGCGGTCCGTGTGTGCAGCGGCGGCGGCCGTGGGAATCTGTGCCTTCGGGGGACACGTGGGGCCTTGGATTGGGGCATGGCAAGGGCCTCACGAGCAACGACGTCCGGCCTCCCAGTCCAGGCTGAAGGTCGGACGCATTCCGAGTGTACTGAGGAGCCATTGAAAAGGTTTTAAGCTGGAGAGTCACATGATCCGATTAGTGTTTTAGAGAAATTCCTGTGGGACCCGCGCGGAGGCCGGGCCGGATGCAGGAGAGACGGAGGGGCCGAGCAGGGAGGGGGCGGGGCGCGGGTCCAGGTGAGCGAGGAGGCCTGGGCGGGGCCGGCTCGGGCAGGGGGCGGGGTCCCCGGGCAGGGGGCGGGGTCCTCGGGTTGGGGGCGGGTCCTGGCGTTGATTGGTCCAGCGCTGCCCTTCTGGATGCCACTCCCGTCGCTGTCGCCTCCTCATTGGCTTCCCTGCTTTGCGGCCCCGCCCCTCCGTCCGTCAGGTCTCCAGCACCAGGAAACCGTAATCATTTTTGCTCCTGTGCTGAACGCGGTCCCGGTCCCGGGGCTCTCACCTCTTCCTCCCTACCTTCCTCACCTACACCTCCGCTCCCCGCCCTACCTGCCTGAACCCTGGAGCCTCCCTTAACGGGCTCCAGCCTTTCTCCCTCTGCTCCATCCTCACCGCGCTCTTGGCTCGTTCACTCTCAGGGCTTTGCACGCGCACTTTTCTGCCTGGAATGCCCTCCTCCTAGGTTGTCGTGTCCGACCCTGTGACCCCATGGACTGTAGCCCGCCAGGCTCTTCTGTCCTTGGGATTCTCCAGGCAAGAATACTGCAGTGGGTTGCCATTTCCTTCTCCAGGGGATCTTCCCAACCCAGGGATCGAATCCGCTTCTCCTGCACTGCAGGCAGATTCTTTACACCTGGGAAGCCCTCTCCTAGATTACCATCATGTTTTCCGTCCTTCCCTCGTTTCTTGCAGATCTCCTCAGAGACATCTGTCTCGTCCACCTTAGCTCACATAGTCCTTTTGGGAAGTCTCTGGCGGCCCAGTGGTTAGCACTCCGCGCCTCCATGGCAGAGGCATCCGTTCGATCCCTCATAGGGGATCTGTGATCCCACAAGCAGCGCACCGCGGCCAAATAAATAAATAAAAATTAAAAGATCTCTCCTGTCACCATCTAGTCCTTGCTTGGCCCTAATTTCCAACATTGTACGTATCACAAATATTAGGCTGTGTATCAGTTGCCCACCGATTGCCTATTTCCCCTTCCACTGGAATATAAACGCCCCGAGGGCGGGGGCTTTCTTCACCTGTTTGTTCACCTGTTTTACCCTAGTGAGCGTCGCACGTCGAGCAATATTTGTAGGTGAATAAAGAGGGCCGAGGGGTTTCCCAGGTGGCGCTAGTGGTGAAGAACTCACCTGCCAATGCAGGAGACGCTCAGGGACGCAAGGTCGATCCTGAAGATGGGGAAGGGCCCCTGGAGGAGGGCATAGCAACCCACTTCAATATTCTTGCCTGGAAAATCCTTTGACTGAGGAACCTGGCGAGCTACAGTCCAGGGGGTCGCAAAGAGTGGGACACGACTGAAGAGACTTAGGGCGCACACAAAGAGGGACGCGGGGTGAGGAGGACGCGGCTTCAGGTTTGTAATGGGGGTTTCCCTGGAAGGGAAGACTGCTGTGGGGAGGAGGGGGGATGCGGAGCGCAGGTGAGTGGGTCTGCGCGCGGGAGTCAGCGCAGCCCACAGAGGCGTGGGAATCGCCTGCGTCTGGCTAGAAGTTGATGCTCCGGAACCGCTGAGATCGCCCTCAGGGTAAAACCCACCCCTTCAGCCTCTGAGCCTCAATTGAGCACATCGATAAAATGGGGTCTCCGTGTCACGAGTAGGGGACCAGGTCCAGGCCACCCCCTGACACTGGGGAGCATTCGGGAAAGGGGGTGAGTCCCTTTCGCTACCGTCTCGGAAGAGAAAGGATTGGAGTGTAGGTGAGGTGGGAGGGAGGTCCCTATTCATCACCCTACTGCCAGGCGGGCGTCTCCATGACAACCCTGGCACATTTCTCGGCCCTCGACTCCGCAGGCAGAGCGGTCTCCAAGTGGGCGGGTCTTGTCCCTGGGGGCGTTACCTGTACCTAAGGAGGTGGGTCTTGTTTCTCCAA